TACTGGCTAAACCAGAGGTGGGTTTCAGCAGGTTCTGACCAGTTCTGGAGAATCAGTAGCAGAACTTTTGAGTAGTTCGGAGAACCGGTAATAAAAATTGTGACTGGCCCCGCCCCCATCTATTCTCTGCCTTCCAAGTCCCAGCTGATCGGGAGGAAATTTATTTATTTATTTATTTATTTATTTATTTATTTATTTATTTATTAAATTTATATACCGCCCTACTCCCGAAGGACTCAGGGCGGTGAACAGCCAAAAGATAAAATACACATAGTACAAACGCTAAAAAACCATTTAAAAATACATTAAATACTTTGGCCCAAAGCAAATTTAAAACACCCCAATTTATAAAACAAATTTAAAAGCAATTAAAAGGGAGGTTAGGCCAGATTTTGCAGTATTCTTCCCCTGGAGTGGGGTTGGAATGGAGATTTTACAGTATCCTTCCTCTGCCACACCCACCAAGCCACGCCCACCAAGCCACACCCACAGAACCAGTAGTAAAAAAATTTGAAACCCACCCTTGGGCTAAACCATTTTGCCATATAATTAGTAGAAATCTATTTTAATTGATGCAAGCCAATTTTAACCAGAGATGCAGCTAGGGAAGGATATATTTGATTTGGAGTGGAAAGTACTTTTTTCCCCTTCTTTGTCTTATGAATGTTAATAGGAAATGAAGAAAATCAACCACAAGGATCACACTGTGCTAAACTATGATATATATAGATTTCTGTGTTGGATGAACCCAAACGTGATTTATTCAATAAAGCATGCTTAATCAAATCATGAGCTAGTATAATGTGTGTCCTAGTTTGATTCACATATCACATTAAGCCAAAATGATCTTAATTTTGGCTTAACGTGTTGGGAAGTAAACTAAACGTAAACCATGCTGCAGCTCATGTCTTACTGGGATGTCCAAATGTAGCCCATATGTGAAAGACTAGCATGGCTGCTGATCTGAATGATGTTTCCTTGTAAGTGAAGAAAAAACAAAAGCTTGTACAAAATGTACAAGGTGTTTTACTTCAGAAAGGTGCTCTGCACTGCAGTCAAAACCAAATTCTTCTCCTCAAGGCAAAGAGGCAATATGTCTTTGAGGGAGATGGCCAGTACAGTAATGTGAAAAATTGAATAAAAATAAAAATGTTCACCATAGTCCTTCTCTTTCCCATTTCTCTACTAATTTTATTTTCATTTGTATTTGATAGTATGGTAATCTCAATAAAATATATATCTAAATTAAAAAAGGAAAGCAACCAAAACCATTCATGACCCCTCCAGCTTCAACCAGTATCAGCAGTTGCTGGAGAAGGCTGCAACAGGTGGAAGAATGTTTTGGGCAGGGGCATCTTCTAGTTATTAAAGACCACTTGGAGCAGGTAAAGTAAAACATTGCTGCTGCTTAACTTTACTCTTAAGTGTGAGAGAGTCACATGTCTTCATGAAGAGCTTGGGAAGGGTGCTTCCCTCAAGCCTTCCTTAACACAAAGCACTCTTTCAAAGATTTGCATATCATAAGTTGTGGTTTTTGTTTGTTCAATTGAAAATCAAGATATGGAAGAAGAGGTGCACAGCAAACAAATGGCAATTAGTAAAGACACTGGGTGGAAACCAGGTCATCATGGGTTCTAGCCCCACCTTAGACATGAAGGCAACAGGATGACCTTGGACCATTCACTCTCTCTCAGCCCAAGGAAGGAGGTAATGGCAAACCATTTCTGAAAAACCTTATTAAAAAACTGCAGTAGTAGTCCAGGAAATACCAGTTGACATTGATCCACAGGCACCAAAAAACATACATTGTTTTCTAATCTATGGTAGAACAATTCCATGGAAGCTGTCATGGTACAATCATTCTTCCATCAGAGACTCTTACAAAAGATTTGATGAGAAAGGTTCAAGCCCACCTTCAATTGCAAAATTTGGGACAGTCATTCTCTTTCAGCTCACAGGATTGTTGTTGAGGTAAAAAAATAATCAGAGAAAGGAGTACTTGATATACTGTTCTGGCTTAAGAACAAAGTGTAGGATATACAGTAAATCTCACAAATCAATTTGATTTAAACATTAGGAGTCTATAACCTTGTAACTGCTGGCATGTGTACTCAAAGAAGCTATCAGCTTCAGTATTTTCTTATCAATAAAGAATGGTAATTTGGATAACAGTTTAGATCTTCCAAATGTTACAATGATATCTAATAAGCTTTACCTTAAACTAGATGTCTTCTCAGGACTCAGTCACATTCATTAACATTAACTTTTTGTAAGGTAGAAAGGGAGGAATTATGACATCATTATATCATCACTGATTTATACACTTAAGAGACTACATAAGCAGTGTGGGGAAGGGGAATGTGCCAATCTTTTTATAATCATTATTTCAACTTAATTTACGAGGTCTTGTGTGGTAGTCTTAGTTTAAATTAGTACGCTTAAAATTTATTTCTTCAGAGGTTTTTAATTTGATAAAACATGCAGTTGCTAGAGTTGTTTACTAGTTTGGCAAAATGTTTTAGTGAAGACAATTGCAAGCAGCTCTCATCTCTCTGATGAAGATATTTCATGAAAAGTCCCATAGCTTTTTATATTATAATGGTTCTATATATTTTAGGAGGGATGCAGTGGCCTTTTCGATCGAAAGGTCAACAGTTCAGTGGTTTGAATCCCGAGTGCTGCGTAACGGGGTGAACTCCCATTACTTGTCCCAGCTTCTGCCAACCTAGCAGTTCGAAAGCACGTTAAAAAATGCAAGTAGAAAAATAGGGACCACCTTTGGTGGGAAAGTAATAACATTCCGTGCGCCTTTGGCATTTAGTCATGCCGGCCACATGACTATGGAGACGTCTTTGGACAGCGCTGGCTCTTTGGTTTTGAAACAGAGATGAGCACCATCCCCTAGATGTGCGAGTGGAACCTTTACCTTTATCTTATATATTTTAGATTGGTAATTTTAGTATTCTTTATTCTGCGCAATCATTTATTTGCTTATATAAATTTTAGCATACGTTAGTATGCTATTTTTATGTCCCAATTCTCAAACATTAACTTAAAATTTTACTTGTTTTATGATTTTATACCTTGTTTCATTTTAATCAATTGACACTTTTTTGCTTTGTTAGTCAGTGACTGAAATAAAATCACTCTGACTCCATGAAGAATCCCTCAAAATGTCTGGATTCACAAAGTGTATTAAGCTACAATGTGGTTTGTTTAGGATTTAAGATGTTATGTAAATTTACACATTTATAATCTATAAATAATTATTTATGGACTAGAGTGCTCTGCAAACCCAGCTAATTGTGATTTACTCAATAAACCATGATTAAATAAATGATTTAGCATAATGCATGAACCTGATCAATATATATATTCATTTATTCTAGCTATATACTGGCAAAGATTGAAAGTGTTTTATGTAACTCAATAAAAAAACACAAACACCGATAAGCATAATTAAAATAGAAAATGTAAATGTTGTATAATTATAATAGGAAAAAATAAATAGCAATCAAAATACAAGACAAAAGTGAATTGCAACCATTACATTGAAATTAAAGCTAGCAGCATCTAACAAGTATTCTATCAAAGAGTTCCATCTTAAATTACTCCCAGAATATTGAGAGATGATGCAAGTCTTAATGCCATAAGATGTCTATTTCATAAGGCTGGAGCAACAATTGAGAATCAGTGCCTCCTGGCCTCCATTTCCTTAAGCTTGTGAAACTGGATTTCACTGGAAGGTTTTCCCAGAAAAAGCGTAGTAGATAGGTTAGTTCAGGTAGGTGAAGGCAGCAATGCAATTATCTGTGTACCAAGTTATTTTGGGTTTTGTAAGTTAAAACCAAGACTTTGGGTTGCAACTGGAAACCTATATAAGGTAGTCAGAGAAGGTTGCACACCATCAGTCATCATCATGTTGAATGCAGGCAGTGAAACTGTTTTATTCATCTGAACTAGATCTTGTGATTCAGATGTTTATTTTGAATCTGCCTAACCACGAGCACGAAATGGAAGATGAACAGGATGAAACTGAATATAAATTTGAAGGATCGTTGATCGATTTGTATCATTTACATGATTTAAGTTATCAGGCAAATGATCTGAATTTATGCAATTCGCATAAATCACCAGTCCAACATGAGTGATTGCATACGAACCCTGTTTTACTGAAGTTCATTAAATTGAGGTTTCATTGGATTCTAATAAGTCTAGCACCTGAACTGGAACCCTATTACTGTCTGGGCACTATTCTAAGAGCTGGTTAGAATTTCTATGTATGTGTCTCTAACATTGCCTTTTTTTTTTCTTTTTTTTTTTAAAGTACAATTGAACAGTGAAAGATGACCTAGCTTAGCCATCTTTTGCAATCTCACACAGTGGAATAGAAAAGCGACATAAATATTTTTTCAGAGGCTGAGGAAACACAGCTGGCCTAAATTACTCAAGGGAGACAGAATTTGAACTAAGGTTTTAGTGACTCACAGATAATAGCCACCACATTGTATCATACCACGCCTTATGAATGCTATAGAAATATTTCATAGACCAATGAATCATTGAACATAGATTGTTGAATTTGCTGCAATTTGAATTTCCTGAGAGAAAGGGAGGACAATGCCAATATTAATATCAGTTCTTTTGAGATCGGTAGAGTCAGATAAAGGAGTCACTAGAGTCTTGGAATGCACTTGAACGCTGTTAAACTATTGATACATAATCTTTAAAGCCTGACAAAGTATCTTTCCTGTTAAAACTTATCCCTAACACAATCGAGGTGCTTTGAATTTTTTTCTGATGCTTTTTTGCTTTTCCAGGATTTATCTTTTTTATTACAGCTCAGTATTTCTTTCTACTGAGTCAAATTCCATCACATCAAGCAACATATGAGCGAGTACAGTATGTTATTGTCAAGCATTCTCTACATTTAAGCATCACCAGCTCCATTTTTGAGCAATGGATCAATAATAAGATCAGCACTAGACAACACCAACAAATGATTATATACCAACTTTTATTGTTTTGAAGGGCTGAAGTATTTAATATACAGAACTAAAAAGTCTTGCTTTTTTAAACTGAACAGGTGGGTTAGTCTGGTGAGGCTAACTTTGGCAGTGTCCCACAAATGACAATGCTAGCCTTCTAGGCAGGGACTTCTACAATTTCAAAATAGTCATTAGGCAGAATCACATAACCACCTTTGCCTGACAGCACGTCTTTTTCCTTCTGAAACTGAACAAGCTCTCGTAGTTTTTCAATCTGTTTTTCCTGACGCCTACATCGCTGCTGGGCAGTCTTAAGTTTCTTCCTCAGTTTATCCACCTGCTCTTCCAGTTGCTGAATTCTTTTTCTCTGATGCACAGTATCCTCTACGGTATAGTTGTGATCACAAAATACAGCAATATTATTGGGAGTGTGAAGTGGTGGCATCAATAATCCAATGCTTGGATCTACCAATCTTGGGTACGTTTGCGGAGGTGGTGGAGGTGAAGGAGAAGGGGGCGTTGGTACTTCAGGTGGTTCTTGTGTGCCTTCAGACTAAAAAGCAAAACAAGAAGATATATTTTACATTTGTTTCATTAAAACGTAACATAATACATTTCAGGTGACAAGCAAGATCGCTTTTCTTCTTCAAAACTTCATGCTTGGGGAAAAATAATAATTTCATTATTTTATTTGCATTAAAACAAGCTTCAAACAGAAGTAGCAAAACTGACAGGGGAACAATATGTTTAGTCAGTTAAAGGCTTCGCAAATGAACAGAATAGAGAAGTCCGCTCTCACCAGAATCTTATCATACCTGAGCTCACCTTGAAAATACTGAATGGACACTAAATAAACTGATACAAGTTCAAGATGCCAGCTGTGTAAAAAGGGGAAATTTAGTTAACATATGTGCTACAGACTCATCTTTGGTATCTAAGAATCCAGAGACACAATCCTAGTACATAATAATTTGTAACCACTGAAGACAGATCATTAGTTTATACCTGTGTAAATGCTATTCTACATAGAGCATGAAAGATATAATTATAAAATTAAAATTATAAAATTATCTTGGGATAACAAAAGAAGCACCCACACGTTCACAGTTACAAGATATGAAATACTCAATCCATATTTTTGGATGCCTAAGTCTACTTCAATTCTACCATGTACAGGAAGTCTTCCACTTACAACAGTTCATTTAGTGACCATTTGAAATTACAATGGCACTAAAAAAAGTGACTTAGAGCTGTTTTTCAGTTACAACCATTGCAGCATCCCCATGGTCACCTGATCAAAATTCAGATGCTTGGCAACTGACTCCTATTTATGACAGTTCCAGATTCACGTGATCACCTTTTACGACCTTCTGACAAGCAAAGTCAATGGGGAAGCCAGATTAATTTAACAACTGTGTTATTAATTTAACAACTGCAGTGATTCATTTAACAACTGTGGCAAGAAAGATTGTAAAATGGGGCAAAATTCACTTAACTGCCTTGCTTAGGAACATAAATTTTGGCCTTAATTGTGGTCGTAAATTGAGGACTACCTATACTGGACCCAAAAAGCATATAATTATGGGAAGAGGGACGCCCAAAATAAACTAAATCAGAATCAATTTGTTTTTTTCAAGAAAGCAATTCCACTATCTAAGAGTTAATGCTGGACTAGGACCTGACCCAAATGTGAGGTCAATAAAGTCTCAAACAGACTTGGAAAGACTGCTAATTTCCAGTCAAAGAATGACATTTACAGGAGACTAAGAAACACGGAGAACGGCTCTTAGAAATTTGGACCTAAATAGCTTTGAAGGTAGATGTCCCTATATACCCACAGCTGAGTGCCATATAGCAGCAGACTTAAGATCTTAGTAATTGGTTTAATTGCTGTGGATATATAATTATTGCTCTTATAGCTTGAAAGTCTGATAATCACACTGGAAGCTTCTTAGGCTCTTATCCATTTATTTTGTCATTCAAAGAAGTATACTTAGAAGTAAATATTTAATGTTCTTTACATAGAAATTAACATTCAATAGATATATTATTAATTATCCAATTATGAGAAAAAATGAAATGCTTTTTTATGAAATCTAGGAACTTTGTCTTAGAATAATTACATTCTATACATTCCCTAAAGTCAGAGGTCACCAGTGCTCCTAAACATCTGAAAAGGATAACTTTAAATAGATAGGATAGCAATACTATCTGTATAAGGAAGAAATAATAGGCCAGTGGATGAGAGATTGGAGATGAAATTTAGATTTATGAAGATCACGTGAACTTCAGATAGAAATACAGGCAGTCATTTGTTTTATTCATAGTATCTTTGTTTCATCTAAACTAATTCTATTACAACAGAAATGAATTTCCATAGTTCTAATTCTTTAATTGATCCTATTAGATTTAGGTGGTACCAATAAATCTTTTCCCCCCTTTTATTCATTTATTGTATCCTTCTTTTCTACTAAGCCATTAGATGTTATAGTTATGTTCCTACAACCACCTTTAATGTTTTCCAACATATGTGAATGCTCAGAGATTCTTCAAGATTATTCTCTAAATAATTACAAAATGCTTTAGGGATTGTTTCTCAGTAATTTTACTCACAGCAAAATGAGATTAAATTTCCAGCTCCACCTAGATTTTTCCTTTGTATAAACAACATAGCTCATAACAGGAGCAAAAACTACAATTAATCCAGCCTAAAGGTCTCTGTTATAGATTCCAGTGGAACATTAGAAACCAGAATGTAATCTATTTCAGTGAAGCAGTTTGAGGCATTTGAATAATTTATTATACAGTTATATTTTTGTAAACATACTCATTCATCTTACTGTAAGTAAGACTGTGACTTACCTTTAAGATTTTTTTTGAAGGAATATTAACATTTAATCATTCTAGAATTTCAGTTGAAATCTCTACCAGTCCATAGGTCAAGAATATCTGCAGTTACAGTCACTGGCTTCACAATTCACTTGCCCATTTTGAAGCCAATAACCATAGTTGTGGATGCCCCGCCATCTTTCAGAAAAGACTTAATATCTGATGAGATTTACTAAGGAAACACACCAGTACACAACTGCACTGAATAGCAGTGATCGTCTAATGTGGATTCTATAATAAACACCGAACAAAATAAAAGGCAGAATATAAATCTAACAAATAAATACACTTTCTGCTTATCTTTTGGAATATGTGGCATTGAACAGGAAATATTCTCTTTAAAAATCTAGCAATCCAGTGCATTATATGATGCATAAAATGCATAATTCATCAATTTTATTTTTTTTTTACTTTTAGGGCATTAGTTTTTTTTTTACTTCATGAGTTTATTTTTCAAATAAAATTAGATTCTGTCTTTTAACAGTATTGTGCAATCTTTTAACGCTGAAAGAAACCCCTCTGGCACTCAGGAAGAGACATAAAACCAGGCTGCGCTGGTTGACATAGAGCTCTGAAGGAGAAACTGTAGGGTGCAGGTGGCTGGTGCAGTGCCAGAAGAAGGCACCACCACTGCTCCATTCCAAATCCGTGATCTTTTCGTCTGTTCTTAATCTTCTGTGATTTTAATCTGTTATTTTATAGTTAAATGCTTTTATAACTCCGTGTTTTATTACATTGTGAGAAGCTCAGAGTTACCTGAAACTGCAAGATGGGTGGTATATAAATTTATAAATGAATAAAAATAAAAATTTGATCTCAATCATTAATTACAATTTTTTGAAGTACCTAATTTGTACTGCGATTTTCTTATATATTAAGAATTTTGAAACTGTTCCATCACTATTAAAGACAAAAAACATTTTCCCTCTCCCATTTATTTTAAAGTACATTGCCATTGAAAGGGAACATTGAAATGCTATTGTCTAAAACTGTATACCTACCTAGAACTAAAGCTTGCAACGAAAGTTCTTCTGTAAATGCAACAGAGAACATTGCCCATGTCTGTCAGACGTGATCAACCAGATCCACACATGAAGAGTTCAATTAGTTACTTTATTGTTCATGCCTATTTCACAGGAATCTTCCCAGACTGGCAGTTTGTACCTGAGCCAGATTAGACATGGTTCAAAGTCCTTCAAAGGGGATTGGTCCTTGCTCTCTTGTGGCTACATAATGATTCCAGACTAATTCCCCACTTGACTTCTCCCTCTGGTTTGGCCAATCTCTCTCCAACAATGTCTTATTATATTACAACTTTTATATAGATTTGAAAACAGATTTAATCTCCCCCAATTTGGAAGGTTCTCAAGAAAAATAATGATGCATATGTTATCCGTATATTATTCAATTCCTGTACCAGTGTTACATATATTTTGTTTAACTGCTATTTTTTCAACAATCTTTGAAAACTTGTGAAATCTTATCTCAAATTATAAGTGATATTATTCTTGTATGTGCTATTTGTATTTATATATACTAATTACCATAAATAGACTTTAATTGAACTGAAACAGATTTATAGATTATTAGTGTTTCTACATCTGTTAAATGCTTCAGTAAGTGAAGCTCTAATGACTAATCCATGAGTCAGTGATTATTTCTTTTTTTTTCACCCTTATCAGTTGCACTGAAAAGTTATTTTGAAATAACTTCATTAAAATGTATTAAGATTCAGATAGCAAGGTGGGGTTTTTTCCTGCAAAAAAAAAGTCATTTGACTATAATTAATAGTTATAGGAGAGGATTTGGAACTACAGCCTAGAAACATTCAATTCATGAATGTCTACATGATAGTGATAGAGGTTGATGAGCTCTCACCTCATCTCCAGGCTTGCTGTCTTACAGAAGTTGATTTTAATATTCATGTTAAATCCTATCCTCCACTAACAGTACTAGCAGGGATGGGCTTCTGTGGGTTCGCAGGGCTTCAGGAGAACCACTAGCAAAGATTCTGTGCAGTTTGGAGAACCCCCAAATCTCACTCCTGGCTAGTCCCACCCGCCCCGCCCTGCCCCTTCAAGAGTCCCCATGCAGCCCATTTTGGATGCAGGTAAGTACAGGGCGCACACGAAGGCTTGGGGAGGGCGAAAAACGGGTCTACCGGAAGTTCAGGAAGGCCGGAAGCAGGCCTGTTTCCATCCTCCAGAGGGCCTCCAGAGCCTGGGGAGGCCATTTTCACCCTCCCGGAGACTCAAGGAAAGCCTCCAGAGCCCAGGGAGGAGAAAAAAGCCCCCCCACCCACCATGGTGAAGGCCAACTAGGCCACGTCCACCATGGCCACACCCACCCAGCAACTGGGCAGAGAACCCCTTGCTAAAATTTTTGAAGCCCACCACTGGTTATTAGCTATGCTAAGTCCAGGTTGATGTAGCTAGTCTAGATCCACAACAAATGTATACAGAAATATAGTTCTTTTAGATAAAAAAAGAGCTGATTACCATGCATTGAACAGCCTATCCAGGGGCAATCTTTCCATTAACTCATAAGAAAATCCCAATGGCAATTTTATATGCAGACCAGAAATACTGAGGGCCTTTATTGTAATGAAGCCTTCATATTACTGATGCTACAGCATAAATTGCAAGCCTAACCATTTAAAACTGGATTATAATTATATTAATTGCACTTTATATCACCATTAAAAGAGCCAGTTTGGTGCAGTGGTTAAGGCACCAGGCTAGAAACAGAGAGATCATGAGTTCCAGTCATGCTTAGGCATAAAGCCAGCTGAGTGACCTTGGACTAAACACTTTCGCTTAGCCATAAAAAGGAGGTAGTAGCAAACAATTTCTAAAAACTTGCCAAGAAAACTGCAGGAATTTGACTAGGCCCTTTCTGAAATTTGAATACAAGTAAACAGAAGAAAAATGCGTAATTAATATAATCAATTCATTAATTAATGTTTATCACAGCCCTTTCCCCAAAACCTCACATATCAGCATGTGTTAGTGTCCAACCTAGTGTCAAGAATCATTAAACAATAACTTTCAGAATTCCAAGCATCATTAATTAAATAACCGGAAGAAAAAAAAACACCTATTAGCAGTTATGTTTTATGGATGGTACATCAAAAATTAAAGATTTTAAAAGGTAGTATTAATTAACATCCAAAACAGTATAATTTTTTTAATGGCATAAAGTGTGTGTGTGTGTGTGTGTGTGTGTGTGTGTGTGTGAGAGAGAGAGAGAGAGAGAGAGAGAGAGAGAGGGAGGGAGGGGGGGTTGCAGCAAAAGACCTTGGTCTCATGTAGGATATTGACTTAATATTTATAAAAAACCAGGGGTCCCTAACAGTAGTGGGCTGAGGTTGCCTCAGCCCACTACCGGGATGCAGTCTGTTCAAAACCAAGCTGCGCAAGCAAGTGCATATGCGAAGCTGCATTTGTGCGAGCTGTGGGCACTTGAGCAGAGGACGCTTGTGCAAATGGTGCTTCACATGCGAGCACGAGCCCCCTCCGTTCAAGCACCCATTAGTGAATAGAAAGACCTGAACAAGGATTAGAGAACAAACAAAATATATGATATAATCAAGAGAAGTAAAAGAATTGAAATGGAAATGGGCTGGTTACATAGGAAGAACTGATGGCAGGTGAACCAAGGCAGTCATAGAATGGATCCCACTTGATAAAAAGCATCCACGAAAGAAACCTAAAACAAAATGGATCAACAACATCAGCAAGTATTGTGGGCCCAATTGGCAAAAGAAAGCTCAGGACCGTAATGGTTGGAAACATGCAGAAGAGGTCTTCATCCTGCAGTGGATAGACAATGGCTAAAATGATAATGATGATGATGATTCACCTAATTAACTCATGCATTTTTAGGAGGATAAGGAAAAGACAAAGAGATTTTTTTAAAAGAAAATCTTATGCTCTGATAAAACAAGGGTTATCCATGATACCTTTAACTTCAAAAATTAAAATATGAGGATTTTTAAATAAAAAATAAAAACTTAAAATATAAGCCAATTATATAAGATCGATATATATTCTTCCATCAGGTATCATGTGAGTTTTGTTGTTTAAAATTGTATTTTAGCATCCAAAATGTAGTGCAAAATTGTAAAAGAGCCTGAAAAGGTTGCTGATTTCTAACATAGAACGTTGCAAGTACGTTTGTTGTTTTAAAAGGGCATCACTTACTTGTATTAATATAGTTATTTCTTGGATGGAAATAATAACTTATACAAGGACTCCTATTTAGGTTTTTAGTTCTGAAAGGGCTGCTGAGTAGTCAAAACAGTACCTTACTTTAAATTTCCATCAAGTCCTGTAGTGGCAATTTGATAGGAAAACTTGTGTCCCACATATCCATTGTTCCAAGCAAATCATTCTCCCCATTTCTTCTTGTTTAGAAAAGAAAACGAAGTGGGACATTATGGTTGGAGCAGTACTATTCTGTCCATAAATATGACATGATATGGAGTAAGGTGCAGTTGTATAAAACAGTAAATATTTAGTTCTCTTGCAATGGTCCAAAATATTATGAGATATTGTCTGAGGCAGAATCTTGCACTGAATCATGTTCTTGCATTAACCCATGTGAAATCAATCAAATTTAAAAGTATTCTTGAAGGAATGATGAAATGTCTAAAAGTGATACAAAAAGCTGTCAGAATTGCAACAATGAATCCATTTTTTGTTTTTATTTTAGAAGAATCCAAAATAAAAAATCAAAGGATGTAAATGAGTAGAAACAGAATTTTAATTCTTTCTATTATATCAATAGATGAATATAATACGCTTCTGTCTGGCACTATATATCAGTCTCCTGTCTTCAAAATACTTTTGCTTAGCAATAGCAGCATTGCCTGCCAGTATTTTCTGAAATACAGAAGCTTTAAAAATAATTCATAAACTTCACTTACCTTCACATTTGGTTCTGTGTGGCAAAATATTGTTGGTACAGCATTATCCTTTAATAGCTTGTTGTTACATTCTCTTTTGAAGCAATCTGGAGTAAAGTGTTCAGAACAAATGCTGCTATATTTTGTTGGTTTGAAATTTTTTCTTCTAACAGCAGCTTCCCATTTCTTGCAGAGATCAGGTCTTGTGAGAGGAAACCTACAAATAAAATGTACATCAAACATTTTTTTTATTATTACTACCAAACTGGAAGTGGGAGGGAGAGGAAGAGGAAGCACTCACATTTTCACTTAGCTGTAGTCTTAATATGCTTTTAAGAAATTGCCTAAAACATGGTAGGAATCAAGCTTTTAGATTTAATTAGAGGTCTCTATTTTTCTGTTCTCCCAGTAACAGGAGAGGTGCTAATGGAAACCAAAAACAGAAAAATCAGTATGTGCAAGATGACTTCCAGTACAGATGTCTCAACATTCAATTTCTAGTGAAGGAATTACAGATTCCTCTCTACTCATGATCTGTGGGAGAACTTTGAAATACACCATTTCTAAAACTTTAATCCATGTTTGTAGAAATTTTTAAGGAGCATACAAAACCCACAAAAATTTATTACTGTCCAAAGAAAAGAAAACATTTAAATTAAATATAAAAAGCTCAAAATCAGTATTAAAATATATTTTATTAACCCAGCTATAGATTTACAGATAGCATGCAAACTTTCAAGTTCTCAAAAGCACGTATTCAGTCAAGATGAGCTTGTGGATATTCACAAAGGTGCATGCTTATTTGTAAACTTTCAGTGACACTTCTTTGATGCAAGTCAACTCAGCTGCTCTTAAATTTTTATGAGAATAATCCTGAATACCGGGATTATAAAAAACAGTATAGTAGTTCAACAAACAGAACTGAGTTATATAGGTAGTGCTCAATTTACAACTGTTCATTTAGTGACCATTCAAAGTTACAACGTACTGAAAAAAGTGACTTATGACAATTTTTCATACTTATGACTGTTGCAGCATTCCCTTCGTCACATGATCAATATTCAGACGCTTGGACACTGATTTGTACTTATGACTGTTTCGGTGTCCCTGGGTCATGTGATCAGCGTTTGTGAATTTCTGACAGTCAATGGGGAAGCCAGATATACTTAACCTTGTGTTACTAAGTTAACAATTGCAGATTCACTTAACAATCGTAACAAGAAAGGTCCTAAAATAGGGCATAATTTACTTAACAATGGTCTTGTTTAGCAACAGAAATTTTAGGCACAATTATAGTCTTAGGTCAAAAACTACTTGTACAGGTAGTCCTCAACATATGACAATCGAGCCCAAAATTTATGTTGCTAAGTGAGAAATTTATTAAGTGAGTTTTGCCCCATTTTACGACTTCTCTCATCACATTTATTAAGTGAACCGCTGCAGTTGTTAAATTAGTAACACGGTTGTTAAGTGAATCTGGTTTCCCCATCAACTTTACTTGACAGAAGATTGCAAAAAGATGCTCACGTGACCCCGACACTGCAACCGTCATAAATGTGAGTCCTTTGTCAAGCATCCAAATGTAAATGCTGGATGCTGCCATGGTCATAAGTGTGAAAAATGGCCATAAGCCACTTTTTTTCAGTGCCGTTGTAATTTGGAACGGTCACTAAGCGAGCTGTTGTAAATCAAGGACTACCTGTACACCTAAAGCCCAAAATCAGCCCTAGGTCTACTTGCTTCCGACAAAATGAAACTTTCCTTGCTTTATTTTTTTTTTTTGGGGGGGGGGGTTGTTTATTAAACCAGCCAGCATTCGGGTGCAATACCAGGGTCAAAAGGAGGGGGGGGCAATCCTTATCGATCCTGCTTTGCCGATTCTTAATCATGATTATTTTAAGCAATCATTGGTAACCATTCCCTCCCAGCCTGTCAGAAAGGTTGAAGAGACGCTTTGCTGTTATTGACGGTTGAACAAGCGCGCGCTTACGCGCCTTCGATTCCACCAGTCAGGCACGTCTCGAGCCTTACTTTTTAAAGGAAAAAAAAAAAAACCGAAAGGACCCAGTAATCGCACTTAGCCCCGCCTTCTCCCCGACCTCCAGAGAGGCCGCGCACTATTTAAAGTCCCTCCCCCTTTGGGCCGCGCAGGCGCTCTGGCCCCGCCTTCCTGTTCGCGAAGCGAATGCTATCTCCTTCTCCCGCCTGGTCGAGAGAGCCGCTTTTTTTTTTCCTTTCTCTCCCCCCCCCCTCCCTGCTCCCGTTTTCCTACCCCCGCCCCTACTCACTTGTGGAAAGAGATGGGCTTCTCTTTGTCGTATCGATTCCGGCAACGGTAGGCAGAGCAGGACTGCACCATCCTCTTGTTGCCGTCCCCTCCGCCTGCCTCTTTAACACCACCGGGATTTCTGGGAGGGAGCAAATCAAGTTAAGACACGCGTCGATCCAAATGCTTCCTTGAGCTCTTCGCGTTCCTTTTCAAAAACAAAAAAAATCCGAAGAACGACATAAACTGGCTGTGGCCTCTCCCTATTTCAACATGGCGGTGCCAGCTTCAGATCAACTCTCTCGAGATCTTCGCATCGGGCTTGGCTATTGGTCACGCCCCGCAATGTTTGGGGTGCGACGCGTCTTCGTCGGAACAGCCAATGAGAGGAGCGACTCATCTTTTGACGCAGGGACTCCGGCTTTCTGAGCTCGGAAATAACACGAGCGCCCGTCCGAAGGCTTGGCTGGGCGCGCGACGGGAGTTGTAGAGCGGCGACCTATTTTAAGATCGATCCTAACGGTGATGCGCGCCTCGTCAAAAGAAAGAATTGGCGTGCTTCTATCGATTGTATTCTTAGTCCTGCAGTTTAGCCTTTCTTGTTAAGAAGGACGTTTATTCCTAAAAGAATTAAATTATCATCTAACATAATAAATATGGACCACCATTAAATAATAACAAGAAATTACATATCCTGTATATTTGACGGACTTTTATTCTCTCTCTCTCTTTCCCTCTTTTCTTTCTCACTCTGTCTCTTTCTGCCCTCCATCTTTCTCTCTCCCTTTTCCTCCCTCCTCCCCCTCTCTCTGTCCCTCCCTGCCTGCCTCTTTCTCTCTCTCTCTTTCCCTCTTTCTCCCTCCCTGACTCTTTTCTTTCTCTTTCTTTTCTTCCCCCCTCTTGTCCCTCCCTGCCTGCCTTTCTCTCACTCTTTCCCTCCCTCCCTCCTCTCTTTCCCTGCCTGCCTCTTTCTCTCTCGCTCGCTTTCCCTCCCTTTTCTTTCTCTTTTCTCCCCCCTCTTGTCTTTTCCTGCCTGCCTCTTTTTCACTCTTTCCCTCCCTCCTTCCTCTCTTTCCCTGCCTACCTCTTTCTCTCTCTCTTTCCCTCCCTCTTGCTCCCTCCCTGACTCTTTTCTTTCCCTCTTTCTTTTCCTCCCTCCTCCCCCTCTCTGTCCCTCCCTGCCTGCCTTTCTCTTTCCCTCCCTCTTTCTCCCTGACTTTTCTCTCTCTTTTCCTCCTTCCTCCCCTCTCTTGTCCCTCCCTGCCTGCCTTTTTCTCTCCCTACCTCCTCTCTCTTTCCCTGCCTACCTCTTTCTTTCTTGCTCTGTCTCTCTTTTCCTCTCCCTCCCCCCCCCCAACAGGGGTCCCCAGACTGTGGACCGGCACCAGTCCACGGCATGCCAGAAACCAGGCCATGCAAACAAGTGAAGCTCAATCCACGGGATGCAGGCAGCACACGAAACACGCCCCCTCTGGTCCGTGGAAAAACCTGTCTCCACGGAACTGGTCCCTGTGCCCAAAAGATTGGGGACCGCTGGCTTAAAATAATGTTGAGATGTAAAAGGCCTCTTGCAGTTTAGAGCTATGATTACTCTTCCCGCTATCAGGGATGCTTAATAGGGCTTTGGGTTTAGACAGTTTCCAGATTCTTGGCCTGTGTTGTTACAATAGGGTGTAGTCCTACCATAGTTAGGAGTTGGACGAAGTGTCTTCCAAATAACTTTCAACAAGTGATGTAGTAAAACTAAGAATGACAGGATAGGGCCAAGTTGCAAAAGTGGCAATTTGGTTAAATGCATTTAAAAATATACAGTCCAGTGGTTCACAGAAGTCCTCCATCCTTAACTCAGAAAATGAAAAAAAAAATGTACTCGCATAGAATGTGTTCTCCTCATTACTGGTCCATTTTGCTCTTGTGGCACCTGCCACAATTGCCTTCCTTAGTAACAAAAATGTTGGATTCTATTGTCATACGTTGAGGACGACTACCCATATTGATAGGATGTAAGAAACTTTATCAAATGAAATAAATCTGTTTAAAAGCATATTTTAAAATTATTTAATAAAAGCAAATTGTTTTTATGGCAATCAGTTCTTTTCAATATTTTCCCGACATTCCATCCAGTTAGACTTTAAATTTCTTAGCTGGAAAAGGTGCTTAGTTGTGACAGCAACACAAAAAGTTAATAATGGATAACACACACACACACACACACACACAGAGAATAAGGAGAATTTGCACAAGCATATTCCCAGAAGAGCAGAGAAAACATCCATCCAAAAGGCAGAGCAGCAAAAATAAGGTGATCTGTCTAATAAGGTCTCCTTAAGGTTTATTTTTGCTTGTACTTCTATATTTCCGAAGTCAAAATAATATAAAGAAGCATCTGGGAAGAGAGCAAGGCAGAAATAGCCCAGGGAGGAGAGACACAGATTTTGCCATAATTGTACAACCAACTAGATCCTGTAGGGTGGAAATTCAAAATGATTAGACATTGAGCAAATTACATCTTGTACTATAGAGAAGGCAGGGGAAGAGTAATTGAAATAAATATGGGAAATAAACCAACGCCCAGTTTAATATCCCTATTTTCTGACACTGCAATCAAGAAAAGGGGGGCTATTGTATCTAAAGGCACATGCCATTTCAGAATATTTTGGTATCAGCATTAATACACCTTATCTTACCCACTGTACTGAAAGGCTGGAGACTAACTGTTTGCAAAATAGGTAGGAGAGACTGCCAGGTATGAAATTGAACTCAGGAAGCAAAGACAGGGAAAGAAATGGCTATGGGGGAATGCATATGCCTCCCAGCAATGCCAGACACATCTCTCTTTGCAGTTATCACCTGTCCTTGCCTCCAGAGTAAGTGACAAACATTTTACACAGCATGAAGCTATAATGACTTTGTTGGCCGAAGAGGAAACAAAATTACTTTTATTCAGGCACAGTAAAAAATTACTTCAAGTAATTTTCACTTTTGGGTTGGCTATAAGATAACCCTACAGTCATGTGATCAATCAGTCATGTGAAGATTGCGACTGTTGAAGTATGAGAGTACAATGGTATAAATAGAAAGTTTCAGATTGAAACTAGATTTAGGATGTCCCTGTGAAGTCAGAAAAGAAAAAAGGATGCTTTATTATTTGTAAATCTGCTTTAAATTTATACATTGATGGATATTTACATTGCTGATTCTCCTTTTTTCACCACTACAACTCTTATCAGTCATTAGCTATCCCTATTTATCCCCAAATCTGTTTCAGTTGTTTATATCTGGAACTGAGGGATGGACAATTTCAGATATAAAAAGGAAACACCATGCAATATTAATTGCATCCACACCTGCCTATAAATTTAAGGCATGGATAAGAACATAAGAGTAATGTGTTGATCAGATAAAGGCCCATATTGGTTCCACATTTTATTTCTCAGTGACCAACAAGTTTCCTCTGGGGTACTTTCAAACAAGAAAGAGTGTATTTCAAACTGGATGTAATGTTAAATCTTAAAACCTAATAGACTTTAATAAATCTGCCCACCACAAATTTGCCCAATCTATCTTATATTTAACCATCTTGTATTGCATTTTCCACTTTGGAATTATAGCACAATACTTGAGCAAGCTCTACATATGTTTCCCTCATATCTTCTTGTCTTAAAAACCTATTTGAACAATGCTATCAGATATGTAATTAGCAAAATAACAGTATATAAATAGTGCAATTTCACTTAGCAGATACAGCTTTGCATGGACATTTTCAGAGCATAGCAAGATAATACACGGCTCATGTACTATATAAAGAATGTTAGTGCCAATTTTCATTCTTCACCTGAAGCTATCATTTCCATTCAGTGACCATGCTAGACCATGGTTGGAGATGTAGTGTGGAGGAGATTAAGTTTGTAAAAGAAAAAAAGTTTATAAGTGACATAATTCTTTTCTGAGACTTGTCTCATTTAGACAAAAAATTAGCGCTACTTTTTTAAAATTTTCAAAAAACTTTATTAAAATTTAAAATATTAAAATACTAATACAAATACATCTGTAACAAAAATACATCCATGATGCTTGTACAATTCAACGTCATTCCAACAGTACACAAATCTTTACATTTGAAAATTTAAAAAAAAATTAGTGCTACTTATGTGGGATTTAATGCACATCTGCTGACTAGGACTGGATTTCTTCTGAAATAACAGGTTATTCTACATGTTCTGGTTGTTGTACTGTAAAGTAACCCCATTACCATTTGTCAAGCTGTGTCCTCACACTAGAGCTTCTCATCAAGTGCTTCTGAGACCAGCTGAAATGAGACTAAGGGTTCTGATGTCAAACTAGGGTTTTCCACCTTATGCCAGCAAAAGACATGCCATGTAGACATTCTAGTTACATATGGAAGAGCTTTACTAGATCAGCAATTCGCAGGAATCCAACTGGTCCATAGCAGGATCCTTTTTCCTTCCAGGTGCTGCACCTCTACAGCTATTTTCTGTAGAGGAATTGGTTACTTCACTGGAATGGGCTGTTTCTTCTAATGAGAATATTGACTTCATGGAAACTTGGTCACTGGTCTACCATGAGGTTAATATTCCCATTTGTAAGCAATAATAAAGAAGGCAAAATTTTGCCTACAAACTTTTCTTCATTAGGTTGATTAGTAAAGGAGCAGTAGAGTGTAGTGGTTGTACTGTGTGATTGCAAAACAGTTCTTTTTGGAGTATTCTGTGTTCCTATTCAAGAAAAAAAACAACAGAAGAGGGTTAGAGACTTCTCTTTGGATAATGGAAGAACATGGGGAATCATACCTAGAAAACCTCAATTCTTTGAGGGTAAATAACACCTGGAAAACCTCATTCATCTCTAATATTCATAGGAAGGAGAAAACACTATGGCTATTTAGATCTCATCTTCTGACCAAGACACTGACAGTAAGAACACCTTCATTCTTGACAGCCAGGAGAAATCTTCAGAAATTCAAATAACAAGAGTGCCTATCACTTCCATTGCAAGTTTTCTTTTCTGAGGGTTGGACATCACGGTGTTTTTTTTTTTAATTCTATCACAAATGCTTAGCAATAAAAGTCTAGCAAAATAGGACAAAATAAAGTAAGCAATAAAAATGAATATAGAAATCTGCCTCACCACCCATTTTATAGACTGCAGTTCAGCATTCAATACCATCATTCCAGATATTCTTCTAACTAAACTAAATCAATTAGCTGTACCTGACAACACTTGTAAATGGATCATAAGCTTCCTAACAGACAGGAAGCAACAGGTGAAGCTAGGCAAAATCACATCAGATACCTGTACATTTAGCACAGGAACCCCCCAGGTCTATGTACTATCTCCACTTCTCTCTATACACCAATGACTGCATCTCAAAAGATCTCTCTCTTAAAAGTACTGAAGTTTGCAGATGATACAACAGTCTCATTCAAGACAACGATGAATCTGCATACAGACAGGAGGTTGAACAACTAGCCTTGTGGTGCAACCGGAACAATCTTGAACTAAACACACACAAAACTGTGGTAGATTTTAGGAGAAACTCTCCTATACTACCACCTCTTACAATACTAGGCAACACAGTATCAACAGTAGAGACTTTCAAGTTTCTAGGTTCTATCATATCTCAAGACTTAAAATGGACACCTAACATCAAAAACGTCATCAAAAAAGCACAACAAAGAATGTTCTTTCTGCGCCAACTCAGAAAGCTCAAACTGCCCAAAGAGCTGCTGATTCAGTTCTACAGAGGAATTACTGAGTCTGTCATCTGCACCTCTATAACTGTCTGGTTTGGCTCTGCAACTAAACAAGACAGACACAGACTTCAACAGATAATTAGAACTTCAGAAAAAACAATTGCTACCAACCTGCCTTCCATTGAGGACCTGTATACAGCACGAATCAAAAAGAAGGCTGAGAAAATATCTACAGACCTCTCACATCTTGGACATAAATTGTTTCAACTTCTACCCTCAAAATGATGCTATAGGGGCACTGCACACCAGAACAACTAGACACAAGGACAGTTTTTTTCCCCGAATGCCATCACTCTGCTAAACAACTAATTCCCACAACGCTGTCAAACTATTTACTAAGACTGTATTACTATTATTCTTCTCATCCTTCCTATTACCGATCTCCTCCCACTTTATGACTATAACCATGTTGCTTTTATTTTTACGATTTGTATTGTTCTGTTTGTTTCCTAGTATGATTTGATTGCTTATTAGTAACCTATGACTATCACCAAGGGTTGTATCTTATGATTACCTATCTCCTCCCACTCATGACTATAACGAGGTTGCTTATATTTTTATGATTTATGTTGTTCTGTTTGTTTCCTAGTATGATTTGATTGCTTATTAATAACCTATGACTATTACTAAGTGTTGTATCTTATGATTTTTGATGAATGTATTTTTTTCCTTTTTTTCCCCTTTTATGTACACTGAGAGCATATGCACACTTGGCCAATAAAGAATTCTATTCTATTCACAGGAGCAATCACAATAGTAGTTAAGTTTTCTTGTTGGTGGAAAACGTTAGGTAGGACAGTCTATTCCTTCATTTGAAAAAAGTGCAGACTACAAGAGTGAGCAGACTTGTCAATGCATAGCAAAGGCAAGTTGTGGAGCAGAGTTCTCTAAACTGGGATGTTTTCCTGTTGACTCGAAGATGGGAAGAAAGCAGATTGCTGAAGGTTTACTGTTTTGTAGTAAACATTCTCTCTGAATAGCCATATATTTAAAGAAAGCTATATGATCAGGTGTGCCTTTTGTTCAAGTTTATTGTTACAACTTCTTGGACAAAATAATCTTGCAATTGTTTTAAATTCACCTAAGCAATTTTATTACTTGACATGTTTCAAAATTCTCTTTCATGAATGAAGTGCACAACAGTCTGTGGAGTAGTTCATTCAGAGTATACTCAGTGAAATAAATTGATTAAATCTATTACGTTGCACATTAGACTTTCCTCTCCCTGTAAGATTAACACAGGATTCTCCATCATCTTTGGGGAGTTTTGAAGATGTGAAATTACTTCTGCCATATTCCATTGATTGAAGCAACTCTTTCAGCTGAAGAGATGAATTGAATACCAACTCTCAAATTTGAATCAAACATGACAAATTTCTGACTTGCTATCATTCATGAAATTAGAATTCAAAGGCAAAAAGAGAAATCTCCCTATAAATTATAGGGCACAACACAGACTTTATTATGCCTCTGCTAATAACATTGTCTGAGAAATCTTCAATAACAAACCTTAATGTACAGAATGTGATGTCATTCATTCAAGACAGTAACCAAAAAAAAAATGTTTTGCAGATAAAGTCCACTTTTCATTTTAGGAGCTAATCAGAGTTAGAAGAGTGGGTGGCCAGTGTTGTAATGATGTAAGTGGAATGGGGCCACAAAGTTTGGGTTAGATTGGGACAGTCAACTGCGAAATTGTCCTCTCCCAAATCAACACATTTACCACTGAATTTCAGCAGTGTGATCTGGATGTTCTGACGGGCGTAAAACAAAATACCTGTAGTCCTCAACTTATGACCACAACCGAGCCCAAAATTTCTGTTGCAAAGTAAGACAGTTGCTAATTGGGTTTTGTCCTATTTTATTATCTTTCTTGCCACAGTTGTTAATTAGTAACCCAGCTGTTAAGTGAATCTTAACAGCTCCCCCACTGATTTTGCTTGTCAGAAGGTTGCGAAAGGTGATCTTACGACCTCAGGACACTGCAACTATCATAAATACATGCTATTTTCCAAGCATCTGAATTTTGAGTGAAAGGCATTGATTTACAGTAAGTAGTTTTCCTTCCTCCAGGACTGGCTACGATTGGTGGGGAAGAAGGGTCCAGATCTAGACACCTGCATTGCAGGGTGGGCTTGACTCTCTCTCCCCACTCTTCAGTATTTAACATTGATGTGAAGGTGCTGAGTGAAATCATCAGTCTTCAGGCTTAATATCAGTATGCTGGTTTTCAGTTGTGGCTTTGCCGCAGCCTGCCCAAAACTGATGCTCTCAGGGTTATTTCAAATGCCTGGAAGTTGTGGGGATCTGGATGGAGAAGAACCCATCCAGCTTAACCCTAGCAAGACTGAATGGCACTTTTTGTTTTTGTCTATCTTAAAAATCTTGTGGGATGTTTTTGGCTTAATGGCAGAAATGCCTCTTTATCAACATGTAAACATAACTTATGGCGGCCTCAGGCATGGTTTGAAATTAAGATAAAAGCAACAATGTGCAAGCAAAAAACAGAGTTGCCATATAATGTTTGTCTAATGCAGGGATGTCAAACTCAAGGCCAGAGGCCAGATCTGGCCCATGGGGTGCTTAGATCTGGTCCGTGGGGCCGTCCTGGAAACAGTGAAGGACTGGCCCACAGTGCCTCTGCCAACAAAAAGCTCAGGAGAGCTGCGTGCGGCTCTCTCAAGCCCCGTTTTCGCTGGCAGAGGGTTGCAGGAGGCCATCACATCCAAAACGGAGCTTGGAAACTTGTTTTCGCTGGCAGAGTGCTCGGGTCACCACAAGCACCCCCGACACGAGTGATGTTGAGCTGGCCACGCCCACCCCAACCACGCCCACCCTGGCCCCCCAAGGTCAAATACAATCCTGATGCGGCCCTCAACGAAATAGAGTTTGATAACCCTGGTCTAGTGCTTATATGCACCTTGCGAAAAGCTCATTGGCAACACCTCCTTGCTGAACACAGGTAGTCCTTGACTTACAACAGTTCATTTAGTGACCATTCAAAATTATAACAGCCCTGAAAAAAGTGACACGACAATTTTTCACTTATGACTGTTGCAGCATCCCCATGGTCACATGGTTAAAATTCAGGTGCTTGGCCACTGGTTCATATTTTTGACTGTTGCAGTGTCACGGGGTCATGTGATCCTTCTTTGTGACCTTCTGACAAGCAAAGTCAATGGGGAAGCAGATTTACTTAATAACCATGTCACTAACTTTAACAACCTCACTGTGGCAAGGGTGGTAAAATGGGGCAAAAATCACTTAACAAATGTCTCGCTTAGCAACAGAAATCTTGGGTTCAATTGTGGTTGTAAGTCAAGTACTACCTGTATAAGTAGCCTAGTTTCTATTTCCCCCACTGCATTTCCTTTCTAGTGGCTCTGTATTTGTAAAGGGAAAGGTCCTTTTTTTTCAAAGGGGAAAAGCAATTTCTCGAAGTGAGGATGAAAGCAGGAAGGCCCTTAGGACGAAGATTAGGGTCACTCTGTTCTTTTTTTCAGGCTGGACTAAGCCATAGCAGCTTGGCCATGACGATCTACTACAGGTAGTCCTCGACTTATGACCACGATTGAGCTCAACATTTCTATTGTTGAGACGTGTGTTAAGTGAGTTTTGCCCCGTTTTATGACCTTTTTTGCTACAGTTGTTAAGTGAATCACTGCAGTGGATAAGTTAGTAACCTGGTTGTTAAGTGAATCTGGCTTCCCCATTCACTTTGCTTGTCAGGTCGCAAACATGGCCTTGGGACACTGTGATGCAGTGGTGGGTTGCCCCCGGTTCGCGCTGGTTCTACAGAATCAGTAGTAAAACCGGTGGGAGGCTCTGCCCACCGACTCCAATGTCATCAAAATGAGCTTGCGCAGAAGAGCGCACGCGTGCACGACCCCGTTGCGAACCGGTAGTAAAGGTATGTAGAACCCACCCCTGCTGTGATGGTCATAAATACAAATCAGTTGCCAAACATCTGAATTTTGATCTCATGATCATGGGGATGCTGCAATGGTCATAACCGTGAAAAAGTCACATTTTTCACTTCCCTTTGAACAGTCACTAAACAAACTGTTGTAAAACGAGGACTACCTGTAGTTGCCCGCAATTTCACTTCGCCCATTTATCGGCTCGTCCATCAGACTGCCGCTGTGTGAGAAAGTTTGGGGGTGGGGGGAGCGAGGGGGAGGAAACAGGCACCTTTCTGCTCCTGGTTTTGAGGCGAATTCGGTAGCCCGCGCGAAATAGCCGGAACCCAAGGCAGTGCAACGTCGGAGAGCAATAAAAAGTTTCGCGGCGAGATTTCGCTTTGATTTCTCTTATTCGCCTTCGGGCTGATCTCAACGCGAAGCCCCGTTTTATTCGGGAAGAAGGGAGAGAGGAGAGCAAGGGAGGAAGACGGAACCAGGCGACGCGGCTCCGTCGCTCCGCCCTCCGCTGCCGAGCCGAGAGGGCCGCGTGTGGCCGCCGCAGCCACAGCCAAGAAAGGCGGAGTAGCGGGAGCTGCTACTAGGGCGAGGCATTTTGACATCAGTTCCTCTGGCTGCAAGGGGGGGAAAAAAAGAGTTTTCTCCCCCTTTAAAAGCCGCAAGTCGAAAGCGCCGAGCCCCGGGCGGGCTGCCTCAGGGGCGGAAGATGGAGAGCCGGCGCCAGGCGTGAAAAACTCGCTGCAGCCTTTCGCCGCGCTGGGAAGCGGAGCTCGCGGCCGGGACCTCATCGTTTCCTCTTTCTGGAAGCCAGACAGAGCTGGGGACTGGCGGCGGCGGCCGTGGCCACTCCAAACCCGCCGCCGTCCCGCCCAGCATGAGCAGCGTCGGCGGGCGCACGGGCGCCCGCGTGGCTGTGAAGATGGAGGTGGCACCTTACTACGGCGAAGAAGGTTTGGAGCTGCTCCCGGACTTCGTGCAGCTGCCGGGCTTCGGTGGCGGGCCCGTACCCGGAGGACCGACGGGACTTGAACCGCCTGAGGAAAGCGGGGTGGTTCAACAACGCAAGTTGCTTCTCGTAGGGAAGCCGCCGCCGCCGCCGCCTCCTCCTCCTCGGGATTTGGGGGCGGCCTCCTCGGGTAATGCCACCTTGCCCCCGGCCGGGCCGTTCTTGCGCCCCCGCGGCGGCACCAGCAGCGCCGTGCACCGCCTCATTCAGGAGACCACCGTCGGCGCCGGCCCTGAGGTGGGCCCAGCCGTTTTGCAGCCTTTGCTGAAGCTGCCGGCGGCCGCCGACTTGGAACAATTGCTGATCCAAGCGGGGAGCCCGGGCCTCGCCGGCCCCTCCAGCCCCACCGGCGGAGGGGCCTCGGTGGCGACGGCCGGCGGGGCGCCTTTCTTGTACCGCTCTCCGCAATCCTCGGCTCCGCCGCAGGCGGTGACGCAGGAACAGGAGGGCTTCGCCGACGGCTTCGTGAAAGCTCTGGCCGATTTGCACAAACAGAACCAGTTGCTCGGAGTGTCCCCGGCGCCTCTCTCGCCTACCCAGCACCCGGGAGGGCCCTGCTGCCCGACGTCCAGGCAGGATCCCCCCGCCGTCTACACCACCTTAGGCAACTTCAACCCGGCCAGCCCATCGGCCGGCGGCGCTTTTTTCAATCCCCAGACTGTGGCTCGTTTGCCCGCGCCCGGCTCGACCGGCAGGGCTTTGGAAGAGCCGCAGACTGTGCCGGAAGCGCCTGTAATAGTGTCAGCTCCGCCGCCGCCGCCGCCGCCGCTGCCTCTTTCGGGGCTTTCGTCCGGGGAGTCTCCTCCGCCGCCTTCCTCCTTATCCCCGCTGGACGCAGAGAGCCAAGAGCGCCTGAAAGCCGAGCGCAAAAGACTGCGCAACCGGATCGCGGCTTCCAAGTGCCGCCGGCGCAAGCTGGAGCGCATCGCCCGCTTGGAGGAGAAAGTCAAAGCGCTCAAAGGCCAAAACGCCGAGTTGGCCGCCACCGCCAGTCTCCTCCGCGCCCAGGTCACCCAGCTGCAAGGTCGAGTCCGGAGCCACCTCTCCAGTGGCTGTCACATCAACGCCAATGCCGCCGCAGCAGCAGCCCCCGCGCAGACCTTGGCAGTGGGTGGTCAGCCCCCCGGCAGGGAGGCACCCACAGAGCCGGAGACCAGTGCTTGCTGAAAGCGTGTGATCCCTCCCCGAACAAGGAGAGACCCAGCCTGTGCCCAACTTTGTCATGCATGCATGGCAGAAAGGGGATTAAACCTTGATCATCATGGTCTTGGGAAGGGCCATGGAAGCCCTGCCTTCCGTTTTCACATCCTTTGGCTTCTGCAGAGTTCCTCATTCATCTGAAAAGCTGAAGTAGACAAGGAAAGGTTCCGCTTCTGCGAGACCATGCAGGTATCTTAACCAGTTTCTAATAGAAGTCGGAAGAGCCAGAGAAGAACTTGGTGTAATGGCAGAGAGAGAAATATGCCACAAAGAATATCCCATGGAGCAGTGTAGGACTTCACAGTGTTAGCCTTTCTAGAAACAACTTCTTAAAAGTAACAACTGTCATCCTTAACTAAAGATTGGCAGTTTCAAGCATCTCCAGCAACTAGGAGGTTTCCTGCCAGCCACCTAAGTAATGAAAGTAATACTGAAATTGGTAATAACCAGCTGGAAGTAATGCTGTTGTGTTCTTTCCAAGAGCACCAAACAGAACCCTTCAGAGGGAAAGAGGAAAATGTCAAGCTTCTCCAGTTGAAGCCCCTCTGACCACCTTCAGCCTGTGAAGAAGTCTGGGGCTGGGTTCTTTCTTGGTCTTCTGAAAGCTCCAGCTTATTTTTCTAGCTTTCTTGCCCTGCTTAAAATGAAGAACCAGAGCTTTGCTGACTAGATGTAAAAATATGTCTTGTTGCTGGAAATCCAAAAGTCTCTTCAAAGATCATGCCTGTGGACAAAAGTTATCTTTGTGGAAGACTTTTATATGTTCTAAAGATTCTTAAATTTTATTTTTATTCTGTGGTTGAAGGTCACTGAGTGTAACATGTATTAGCATTTCTGCAAAAAGAAAGAAAAAAGTTACCAGGGATGGTTAAAGACACTCCAGTATGTTTTGCTGAAGGTGTATTTACAGCTTTCTAATGAACAGTGTGGATTTTCTAAGATGGGATATTAAGGGAATAGTAATATGTTTGTATACCATGGATATTGCTAGTTATTTCAGTAGATAAATCATATTTTTAAGAAAGAGCAGCTCTAGAATTTGGCAGTGGATAGAGTTGTGAAATGTTTTTCAACATTTAGAAGATTTGTGCAAAGTTAAGTGAATTTTGTGTACAGACTTATTTGTTATTTTCTTGCTGTAGAGGTTCTCTAGATTTGCTAAACGCTTGAGAGACACTAAATTTATATGTTTAGGAAGTACTGTGGAGTATGTGGCTGGACAATTTTTCTTGATGAACAGAAGAAAGCAGTCACATAATTTGTCGCTATGAAAATGTTGACATTCAAGCTAATTTCACATTTTTGATCCTGGAGATTTAGCCTACTATGCCACATAAAATATTTATTTAAAAAGCAGATTTTAAGAAAATGTTTTTCACCCTTAGATCTATGAGCTCTATATTATTTCTTGTGCCAGCACAAAGTTGGGGTATGGGTGCACTTATTTATTAAAACCATAGGATATCTGTTTATTTTTATAACATGCAAGGGGATAAAAGAAATCGTTTTGAAGAAAAATATCAAATGTTTTCTTTTTTACAGTAAACATTCCAGCTGTACTTGTTCTCGGTATGATCACAACTATAGAGCTATACAGAGAAAAAAATTGGATTTTTTAAAAAAAAGATAAATCAGTTAATTCAACTATGTTTTGAATAATTCATGGAAAAAAATTAATAGAAATGTAGATAGTCATATATTTTTAGAAGAACTATGTATAAGCTATTTTACTTTATCCAAAATGTAAAAAATGTTGTTCTCAGGATGGGAGGTGGAAAGTAAATTTATAAGCTGAGTTTGAAAGGTTTATTGAGTTTTATTTTAAAATGGGATCAGAAATAAGCATTGTTTCTTGCTTGTTTTTTTAAGGGTTTTGATGGTTTTATTAGTATTTTGTCAATTTTATTAGTAACTCTGCCAAACTGTTTATCATAGATGACAGCCCTATCTACCAAAATATTTCATTGTATAAGTTCAGAGAATAGTTTTTACCCTTCTCCAAATGCAGTTTTTTTATGTCCTGTGATTTTATTTTCTGTTTCAGCTATAACTTTCCATGCAGTAAAAACCCTTGCCTAGATATTTACCTGGAAATAGTGTCAAAAAGATAGTAGGGCACAGTTGATTTTTCTTTCATGCAGCAGTATTGACATAACCTGCTTGATTGACAGGTTGATATTTATCCTAGGCTTAGATGGATACCTATGAGGGAGTCAGATTTTCAGAAAAAAATAGCAATTAAGAGCTTTTGACTTGGAATCCTATCACTGCAAGTGTGAAATAATCTATCTTGGCATTTTAGGAGTAGAGTGAAAACTAGTGATGGAAACCTACATTACTTTGATTAAACCATCTTGTACTGATTGACAAAGATACTTTAATAATATATTCTTTAACTTTTCCCCGTGTGATCATTTTTTTCTTGTTTGGAATGCAAATCTATACTAGTATTTTCACAGTCATCAGTATGAATAATTTTCTTTCCAATTTTGTTAACAGTTCAAAATCAGATCTTTTCAAATGTTCTCTAGAAGTTGTAATACTGAAATAGAAGAATTTCTCAGGTAAATTCTGTACTGAAATATTGCATTTTGGAAAAGGAGCTTAGAGAAATCATTATTCCTACTTCAAAAACAGCATCCTATTTCTTAATTTCTTCAAAAAAAGACGGATCATAACTGAAGCTGCTTTGATCTTGGCACTCAGATCATTTATTGTCTTGTTAATGTTGTATGTATGTTGTAACAGTTTTTGCCAAAAACATGGTGTGCTTGAAATATTTGCAGTATTCTAAATTGTTTGCCTTTTTCTAGCCTATTTGGCAAATATTGCCAATGTATGCAGTTTTTGAAGCTTTTTTCTGTGAGAATTTCTCTGAATACAATGTATTTTGGACACAATTTCCGGATGTCATATTTTTAATATTGTATTTTTTTTTCATGTACTAACCAATCTACCAGTGTCTTTGAAATCCTGTTTACATGCTGCATCATTTGTTGGTTGACTATCCATTATTGCTGATGAACTGGGAACATACTTATTCCCAAGGGAAGAAATTTCATCCTTATGCAAATGTCACCCTTATGTTTGCCTCATCTGTTCTGATTAATGTGGTTGTTGTTGTTGTTGTTGTTTTGCATGTGCCTCTGAACTACTATTAGAGATTTGTTTTTATACACTTTGTCTCTTGCACTTTAAGTAATTATAAAAGCAACCCATTTCCCCAAATTCTAGATTAAATAGTACTCACCTGTCTTAAGAATTCATTAGACAAATATCCCATTCTAATATTGTTGATGGTTCAGATGATATCCATTGTTGAAACTGACGTAAAATCTCATTACAAGGAAAAAAAATGCCTTCGGGGATTTGAAATCTTATCCTTGAGTTTTAACAAGAAGAGTTGTTTGGCAGCTGGTTTTCTTTGTGCACTTCCCCAGTTCATGTGAACACTCAGGTGATTGTGTGGCTAAAAAGGCTGACTAATTTTGTTGCTAACTTGGTGAGGGATGATGTATCACGACTCTTTTCCAACGGTTCTTTTTTAACTTACCAATGGAATCATTTTGGGTTCTATTTTGGAATGCTTGTCATTGATAGAAATGTACATTCGGGTGTGGACTTACACTGAAAACACCACTCATTATTATAGGTTTTGTAGGGATTGATGTAAAACACTGCATGTTTTCACAGCAGGATTTTTATTCATTGTAAGAAAATCGTTGTTGGCTTTATGAGAACTCCACTGTTAGCCTGAAAATTTTGACTGAATGATTTTTTTTTCCCATTAGAAATGTTAGTGGGCCATTGGCTTTAATTATGAAAGTGTATTTTTTCCTGGAGGTTGTAGAACGTTTATTAGTATTAAATGTATTAGGATTAAAAGACATTAGGGCAAGTGTCAAGCAAATTCATATATGTTTAAACCCCATGATTTTAGTCAAAGGATCTTTTTAAATTTGCCATGGAAATCACTGCAATATAAAAGTGCTTAAAATTTGCTGGAGCATTGCTTAGCTTTTTATATTGCTGCCAGAAAGTATTTTAATAATATGTATCTGGAACAGAAGGATGTAAAAAAATCAAACATAGTCCTGGTGCATATTACTGTAATTTCTTGTTTTCTGTTGCAAAGCTGAATCTGTTTGAGTATGACAATATTTCTATTGCTCAATAAACTTCAAAGTGATTTTCTGCTGTGTTAATTGTTGTCAGTATTTCCCCACTGTTGAGCAGTTGTACTGTAAATAAACACCTGCTCCTTTGATCAGAGGTATTTAACTTGATAACTAGCTGTAATTTTTGCAGTCAGACATTCAGATGCAATCATATAATTTTTGTCTCTTGCATTTTTAAGTGTATTGTTTTTTTAAAAAAATAGTATAATTTTAGGTTTAAGACTGTTTCTATGCATGATCAGTTCTAAAAATGCTTATTTAGTAATTCTGTGGAGGGCAGAATTAGTTTTGTAGATATGAAAGATTTGGGGCAAGGGAAGTTTATATAATAGTTAATCAACCTGTCTTATGCATGATGTCTTCAGGCAATTTGTTCAGATGAGCTTGAGTTATATTTTCCTTTTTGGAAGCAATACTCAAGTTGTCTAAGAATCTGCTAGGTGGGGTGTGAGTAATCCCTCTTAGATAATGCATAGTTTTAACCTTTTGTGTAGTTTGAAACATTAACTGGAAACTTACATGATAGATGCCTGTTATATTAGATAATGCAGTTATTATATGGACAATATTTAAAATGTCTCCATCAGGAGTATGTCTACTGAGATTGGAGTAGTAGAAATTTGTAGTACCCTCGTAACCTTTTTTATTGATGCTAATTCAGTATGGCTTCCAGAGGGTTCCTGATTTAATAATGAATTCCTGGATTATCTCATGATACCTTTACTGCTTTGAAACAAATCAAAGCCAATGGTTTAAAATAAAAAGCAGATACCTATGTTTCTCTAAGAAAAGCATAAATCTGATATTTTAAACCTTTTTCTTCCAAACATAGCATTTCCATATAACATTCAGGAAGATGGTATGCATAGGATTACACCTTTTAAAGGTCTCCAGCTCCATGATTCCCATTTTTGACTTACTAGTCTTCACTGATTGATTAGTACACATTATTATGTCACAGAGTCCCATACAGGAAAGAATTCTGAAACTCCTTGGGTGAAGTAATATGTCATTAAAAAAACCCATAGTTGACCAGTCTCAAGAAGAGACCTACTTATTAACCTATAACGCGCATGTCTCTTTCTGAAATTTGATACAAATGAGCTGTTTTTCTTGCTTAGGAGCAAGAAAAGTCATGTTTTTAGAAGAATAAGGTAATCCAACCATCTGAGAAGTGAAAAAGTATGTGCATATATGTGTTTAAGAATACACATCATGAGTTGAATTTGGAGTTAATTATACTTCATGCTCAGACCTATGAAGTCAGTGGGATTTTAGGTAGTTTAGTAGTAAGTGCGGTTAAATATTTATCCAGCATAGACATTAACATTTAATCTCGCAAAGCTACCTTTTTATATTAGAGACATATATAATTGATTTATTTTTATAATGAAGACATACCTTGAATTGGGACTGACTTCCAATTCAGTCTCAATTCAGACTTAGCTATGATCAAAGTAATTCCCCGAGGTAGAAAGAGTTTTGACAAGATTGGGATTGTCTTTTTGGGGTTCTGCTTAAAAATAACTTAATAGTTTTGACTTTTGGATGGTTTTCTAGAAGCAGAATTTTCTGTAATCTAGTTTTGAATATCTAGAATTAGATTAATGGAGGTAGATTGAACTCAAAGCTGGTTCACACAAGTAGAATGTAATGGGGTCAAAGAAGAAAAAAACAGGATGTGTGTCTATATGAAATTAAACCCATCACCAATCACCTTAAGCAATTTTGTAGTTGCTTAAAATTTGGAGTGGGGTTTTGATTTCATTCTGAAAATAAATACCAGCATCCCAATACCAGCATCCCAAACAAGCATCCCTTGTTTTCTTATTGAATTCTACCCCTCTCAGATACGACAGTACTGCCTATGGCCTCACAGTCTATCTGAAGCCACCATAATTACAAATATATTCAAATGAAGTATTTGAAATAGTACCAAATAATGCCATTTTAAATGATAAGAAATCATAGGAAAGGAGCATTCCTGTGCCTTTAAAACAAGCATGCAAGTTAAGCCTTTCATATCTTGCTAGTGTACCACTTAGTTTCAGAGCTAAGAATGATACAGGGTTTGTTGTTGTACAGTTTTTGAAATATTATCTGAAGGCAGAAAGTTGTGCCATGATCGTACTGCAGACAACAGACCAAAAACACTAACTGCAGGATATGATCATATGGTGAAGGAGGTAAATGGACTTGTCTGATTCTGTTGTCTCTTAATTGCTTAGCAGTTAACATTTGTGATATGGTGGCAGCTAAGCATTGTAAAAAAAAAAACCATGGCCTTATTAAAGAAATGGTTAAGGGAGATGGTCCTTTCAGAGACAGTTGCAAGACTGAGAATCAAAATAAATGGATCCCCTTAGCAAGAGGATATAAAGCTTGAAGGGAAATTGATCTCTCCAGACTTCTGTATTGGAACCACTGGTTCTTAATTTCATAAATGATCTGAAGTTAGAGATGACAGTGAATGCTGAGGATACCAAAATCTTTAGTGTTTTGCTCAAACAAACAGTACAAAAAAAAAACAAAAACCCCGAACAGCAAAGCATTCCAAAAAGCTTTTTCCAAATGGGCACTGAAATAGCACATTCCATTAAATGTAGGCAACTTTACAGCAATGCACACGTACACGCACGCACACACACACACATACATTCCAACTGCACATACATTTGAGCTGATGACTAATAAGGAAAGATATCTTAGGGTTGTGATAGCTCACTGAAAATCTTGGCAGTTTGCAGTTTTCATCAAAAGAGCCAATTCTGTGTTGGTGGTGGAAATAAGAAAATCATATATAAAACTGCCAGTGTCATAATGCCTTTTACAAATTTTATGGTGTAACCACTGGGCACAGTTCTGGATAATACACTGGAAATAATTTTTGGCTCCTTCTCTGAAATAATTTACCACTATTTCAGAATTAGCTATTTTTTTAAATAACTTTTTTTCTTTAATCTGGCATTCTTCTGTTCTTGCTCCGCTTTTGTTTCCTACAGTAGCCTGACAGATGAATTAAAGAGATATATTGAATATATATTCTACAGGTGTATTTTGTACTGTCAGAAGCGTGTTGGCTTTATTTGACAAATATCATACTGTATTGCTTATTATATATGTATATTGTACTTCTAGATGGCATTCGGATGTGTCAAGTTTTTGAGATGTAGAGAGGGAAGATGCATTTATGAAGGCTGATGTTCTGGGAACATGTTCAGAACCAAACTAGAAAGCGGTTCCAGTTACTGCTTTGCAACGAGAGTCTTCAGATCTAAGGCTCAAGGACTGGTATATGGCCAATAGTTGCAAACAAAATCTCCGGTTTAGTAGAAGAAACGGGTGGGAGTTGCAGAACAGTACTTAATACAGAATACAGTATACAGTACTTGTCTGTAGAGAAGTACGCTTTATTTAATTCATAGTGACTTTCTTCAAGTAAGTGCACTGGATTGTGAACTCACATGTTAATAGTGAAGTCCTCATTCACAATTTCCAGCTTTGGTTTGCTTTTATGGAATTGAAACATTTGCATGGAATGAAACATAAAATACAGGACAGTAAAAATGCATTCAGGTCATGTATTTTTTTTCATAACGTTCATAATGTGTAGAACTAAAAGGTGTTTAATTATTATTGACACATCTTTTTAAAGTAACACATAATTCTACTTGATTAAGTGTGTATCTTGCTTTAGTGTAGTGAGTGATTGAGGAAATAAAAGTGCTACACCTTTTCATTGACTGGTGATTTAAATCCATGTTTACAAGAATACTCCAAATTTATACTGCCAAGGAGCAGTTAGCTTTTGTTTCCTTATGAACTGAGTTTGTGGATGTTTTTATTCAGTGCAGCAGTTGGAAATCTTGCAATGCTAATTTCAAACCTGCTGTTGTTGCAAATAGTGGATCTTTTGTCTGTGACTCCACGGGAACAGGATTAGATCTTCAAATCTTTGTGTTAAGCATTTACGACTAAAAGGCGACTTGCCTTGTATGTCTAACCAATAGGGCATCTCTGCCTGTAGGGACTAATGTGGACATTCTCTGGTTTTTATCACTTTCTAACCAGAATAATTAATGGAGACTGAAATGAAAAAGTGGGAGATAATGAGCGTTCTGGAATGTATAACATTCTTGTGCTGACATTGTTTACATAAAAAAAAGATTACATTTATGAGTTTGTAATCTCTAATGTGCAATTTTGTATATGTTGTGTTAAAACTATGTTTATAAGATACTGTATGTAAAAAATACTTGACGGAGTATTTGATATAAACATCAGAACATTAAAATGTCTTTATATTCATACTAATTTTGTATGTGTTCTTCTTTTTATCTTCCCAAAATGGAAGCACCAAAATTAGCACTAGCTGAAAATCACTGCCTTTAGTCCTATGGAGATCCTGGGAAAGAAGGGCTTTGGAACACATAGGAGTGTGTATGAAACCCTGTTCATTGGCTAATTAAAGCAGCTGCCTCTTTCTTCAATCTCACTTGGGTATTTCCAAGCTGGCCCCACTCTCTGCCTGCTGGTAGGGAGGAGAGAAATTAGAGTGGCTGTGAACAGATATGCATGCATTCATAGCTGCACATGTTGGGAAAAAGTTGCCTTAATGAGCCAAAGACAAATGTGTTTTATATATTCCTACATATTACAGAAAACTCCCATTAAAGGGTTTGCAGAAATCTAACTGCCAAGGTAAAATGTAAATATACACTGGAAAAGATATGTTGCCAATTTAGAGATCAGCATCATTCTAAGCATGTGAGTTTGACTAACTTTAAAGAGAGAATTATAGATACTATGTACCTTTCTGAAATGAAAATACATAAATATCTCTATAGGTATTTTTGTGATCAGATGCCTACTCATAAAATAAATATTTTGAAAAAATATATGAACATTGAAACAAACTAGCTTGAAATTTACATATAAATCCATATGAATAGTAATTACTATTAATCGCTGCTTCCCGTGTTAAAAAATGACGTATGTATTTGTTAGGTTTGTGCTCTAGCGTACATGATTGATCCATCCAACCAGTGCCAGGCCTCCTTCAGTGTTCAGCCATGTAACCTGCTCTCTTGACTTAATTTCTTGTGTATATTTAGATCTTATTTTCACCCAAGGATACCACTCTGTGCTAAAGGGTCTCTATATACACATACACTTAAACATACACATTGAGAGAGACAGACAGGCAAAAACAGATTGGGAAGTTTTGAGTTTGGTTCTTCTGTTTAGTACAAGCAGGGAAACAACCTGTATATTCCAAGTGATGTAGAAGTTTCAGTGGGGAAAAAAAGGAATTTAATAGCCATCTGATTGTAATTCTTTATGTTATTGATCCCCAAATTTTTCTAATTTCTGGCTAGATGACTCTGAATCTGAATCCTAACTAGAGTTTTTAGTTTTTTATTTCATCCGTATTATTTTTATAAATAACTCAAGGTGGAAAACATATCTAATACTTCTTCCTCCCCTTATGGTCCCCATAACAGCAGTGTTGTGAGATGAGATGTATTGAGAGACAGTGACTTGTCCAAAGCCACCCAGCTAGTTTTCATACTTAAGGCAGGACTAGAACTCATAATTTCTTGGTTTCTAGGCTGGTGATGCCTTCACCATTAGACCAACTGGCTCTATTGCTTTAAAACAACTTTGATCTAGTGAATATGGAATGCTAACCATTTCTAGTGCATAGTTAAAATTATTAAATCATGAAGTGCATAACATTCCTGTAATATAGGTCTAATAGTTTTTTTTAGGCAGTGCTGAAAAATTGAATTAAATGCTTCATATTCTTGATTCAAGGACTAAAAATACTCAACTATTAGAGAGGAAGGAAAGTTAATTATGCTCATGAAATTGCTGCTGACTATTAGATTGAGGAAAAGAAGGCATAAGTCAGGAGACACGGTACCTGTATATGCAAACTGATACAAAAATCACAAAAGATCCCTTGGATAATCTTATCAAAGACTTAAGAGCAAAATACACATTTGAAAAATAAACCCAATATATAATACAAGTTATTTTCTGATGTGCTGCACTATTTGTAGGTCATTTGAGAAGTGCTATATCCATTACAAGCTGCAATGTTGTCAACATCTGGCACCTGTACTATGAAATACTCTTCATTAGTTTTATTATTGTTTGTAAGCCATTCCGGGTTACAATACATAAGATGGGTGGCTGTATAAATCTTCAAAATAAATAAATACATCCAACTTAATTATGAAAAATTGGATCGCATGCACAATGCCATCATTTAGACCACTGTAGAGAAAGGACCATAGCAGAATATATGCTTAGGATAATTGCGTCATTTTGCTATTCCATAGTAAATTTGGCCTTGACATATTCTCTTAGAAAATTCCAAGAACATTCTGGAATCCTTCAGTTCTTGTATGTTACCAAGCATGGAGCATGCTAATCAATTCACATCCCTATAGGCAGGAGAGAGATCGCCAGTCCATTTATCACCAAAAGTGGCTAGATAAACTATGACAATAGGATGGTAAAGAAGGAGAATTCTACTTTGAGATATCTTATTCACACACTTACTGAAGCACAAATTAATTGTACTCTACATTCCATGCACAGAGTTGGAAATATTGTATATAGAGATAGCATGTATAGTTGTTATGTAAACCATAAAGTCCTGAACCAGCACTGCCAAAGCATGGAAGATGAAGCTCCAAAGCACCATATTTGGTTCTCCAACACACTGTTGCTTTTGCCAGTTTAGATAAGACATGGTCCATGGGATAGGTAGAACACAATAGCAAACTCAATGTATCTCTTTGGTCAGGTGCAAACAAATGCAAATCCAGATTAGATGGGTTTATGGGGGGGGGGAACAAAGGAGTTTTTATTGATCACAACCACAATGTATGAATCCTCCCTAATTCTCTAATCCACATTGGTGTACTACCAAATACATAGACAGGTAGAGCTGGATCAAACTCATCAGCCTAGTTTTCCTTAATGTATAATTAAATCATAGATGACTGATGCTTTAATCTGAACTGATGTTGACACTCATCAACAGTGCCACTAGGCTACAGGCTGTCCCATTTCTGTACATATCCAGTCCAATGTGTAATCCATCTCTTTTCTTTCCTGTTGCCATTTGAAGTATAGTGTCTATTTCCCATGCTATATCCCAGATTCACTACTGAGAGCAAAATCTAAAACTGCAAAAATACATTCACTCAATTCACAGGCAAAGGACTCTGTCTCTTAACTCATCTGATCTAATTTGCAAGATCATAATCAAAAGCTCGCCTTCTCATCCCACTGATCTGTTCTAGGATTTTCCAGGTGCTCAGGCTATTAGTAGAGAAATCTTATTTGCAAACCTGGATCTTCTTTTCAATTGGGAAAGAAGAGAAGTGACTGCTAATATAGCCAGTATCGTCCTGCATTTTTCAGGGTCTTCACAAGTACCTTGGGGGAGAAGGGGCGGGTTTCAAGGCAACAGCCCTATTTCATTGTTCAAGCTCCGTAGCCAAATATATTACCTTGGATTGATATTAGATATATTTTGTAAAATGGGACCAAGAATACCACTGTGATATGTTCAGATCTCAAACATCTATAAAAGATAAACACGATGAGCCTGTGCAATTGTGCAGTAAATATAGGGCTGTCCTTTTGCTCTGCAAATTTAGCAGTTGTAGTGAGGGAGCAGCAGGAAACTACAGTCTTGGTATGATTCTAACCTAAAAGAATTAAGTATTATAAAGCACACATACAAACAAGTTTTGTGTTGCAAAGTACTTAAGTTTCTATTTAAGCACCTTATGATATTGATGGGCTAAGCACAAAGTGCTGGATTAAGAGCCTGGGGAAACAGGAGTGAGGTAGCGTCTCAGACAGCAGAACAAATATTTATCCACAAAGTATTTTGGCACATAATTGAAGGGTGGCTCATGCAGGCTGAAGCTGTAGAGTGTGTATGAAAGACAAGGTTCTGCTTCTTGTGGAAGTAATGAGAATTAAGCCAGCCTCGAAGTCATTTGCAAATATGGTACATTCAAAGATATAGAAGATTTGAGTTACATAACCATCATCATAGGCAATCCTCGACTTACAACTGCAATCAGAACCAGAATTTTTTATTGCTAAATAAATCAATTACGCCCAATTTTATGACCGTTTTTTGCAATGGTTGCTTGAGCAAATCACTGCAGTTATTAAGTGAATCGTGTGGTCTTTTAGTGAATCTGGCTTCCCCCTGTAGGAAGTTAGCACCCACCCCTTTCCTAGAAGAATGAAATATTTTAGGAAATATTAAAAAGGCAGAATATTATGTTTCCTTGGATGAGAAATGGAGAAGCATGTTTTAAAGACGAAGCAGCTCCCACCTTCTTGCCCCCCCCCACTCTTTGTCAATGGGCCAGAGGCAGAAACTCATTTCCCTCCCATCTCTGTCAATGGTCCATCATCTGCAATACAATAGGACCCATCTAGTAACAGAAACTCACCACATGGCACCTGGGAAGATTACATCAACCAGCAAGACTAGTTAAGACCCCCACCCCCTGGGAGTCTGACAACCAATCAGGATACTCTTTCTGGGCCCCAGGAAGTTCAAAGCCAGAGAGGGCATAAAACCCGGGAACTCACAGCATATCAGCCCCTTTTTCTGTTCAGGAACTCAAACCATGTGATCTTGTCCACCATTAAACCATTTTTCAAGCAATCTCCATGTTTCCAGTGTCTTTTTCCCCACTTGGAGCTGAACCCAGAAGGATATTTCTTCTAACACCCCCCTTGGCTTTGCTTGTTGGAAGCCAGTGGGAAGGTCACAAATAGTGATCACATGACTCTCAGATGTTTTAATCATTGTAAATACATGCCGGTTACCAATAGCCCAAACTTTGATCATGTGACCGAGGGGAATCATACGATGGTCATAAATGAGAGTTGTAAGTCAGTTCTGTCAGTGTAACGGTAACCTCAAACGGACTCTAAACAAACAGTTGTAAGTTGAGGACTCCTTGTGGTTAATTTGAGACCAAGTCCAGACCTCAGAGAAAATGAGTTCCTGGCAAACAGAACTTTTTATGATCAATGGATGATCAATGGATCATAAAGTTTGGAACAGATCTTCTAGGAATTGATCCTTTACCTTTTGGAAATATACTACAGTAAAAATAGAAGTTAGAACATTTCAGCTGATTTGATTGCAGTTTTGGTCAGGTCCGTAGGCTAGGATGGAATAGAGTGGATCAAGTGTCCATATAAAATATATAATTAAGAGAAGCGTTTTTTCCTTAGAAGCAAATGGAATTGATCT